TGAATTATGTCCAGTATTCATTAATGTTTAAATGTTATCCCGCAATGTCTAGATAGATATAATGATTCAGATACTTTAATTTTTATATTCCCTATTATTATAACACTTTTCAAAATCGTGTAATCACAGATTGACTCAAGGAATTAGAATTATATAAATAAATTAAAATTCCAAGTGCCTTTGCAATTCACTAATCAGTGTTTCTATTATGATGTGAACAAAATTTTATTATTTTTTTTTGTATGGAATACAATATATGTACATGACCACAGCTATATAACTAGGTCTTTTCTGTATAATTTTATTTCGAATGAATGGATCTCAATTACAAATATTCCGCAACATTAGTACTCACCATAAATTTCACATTTATGCTAGGTGTTTCTGTGTCATGACTTTTGATAAACATAAAACATTAAAGTGATAAAGTGATTATTCTTTCATGGACATATGCTCATTTATTGTGAAGCGGAAAAAGACGATTGGCATATGTTGAACGAAATTCTTGTAGAAACTTTGGGATAACTATTGCTGGATCTGTATTCGCGAAGAAACTGTATTTCTTGCGATATGTTCTGAAATTGGAATCAACTACTGATCCGACGTATGTTTGATTATAAAAAGTGTGTTGGAAACTATAAGTAGATGACGTCACGCGTAGCTAATAGGATTGATTGACAGTTAATAAAAAATTGAGTGCTTGATCCCTTTGTACTCTTCACACGAAAATTCAGACTTTTTAAAATTATGATAACGAATATTGATACTACAGGGATGAAACACATAATTTTATAGCCAAAAATAAGACCGTTCTATCTATCATAGAAATATCTTAGTAAAAATCACTCCATGTTTCACAAATAGTGGGTGAAGTAAAAAAAAAAAAAGGTAGAAAAATACACAAAAATCAGAAATTTCTGTAGACAAATAAATAACTGTCAACCCAATTGTTCCACTACTCAACCAATTGATTTACCTTCCAACTTTGCAACAACTTATTTTATTTCTTTCTATGCTCACATAGTTGTTTCATTCAATTTTTTTTTGTTTTCTGTTTAGTTTAGTACTAAAAAACTTTAATTAATAGACAAAGGTATATTTTATATATACTATATTGACTGTTTTAGGAAGTTGACAATTTTCTTTTTTTTTTTAGAATATTAGATAACATGGCATCCATATTTGATGCATTGTCACATGTAATTGCCAATAACTATAATTTTTAATATGAAATTATATGACTTAGCTATTGTATTTATCACTGGTTTTCAAGAAATCAGCAAGGTAATAGCAATGCTAGGTTCAGATCTACGTAATTGTGTCAAATAATCAATTACATCAATTACATCAATTTTTCATATGACTCAATTCTAATTTTAATTGTGTTCGACTAAATTCAATAGTTTTAATGAAGTCGGACATAAACAATACTTAATATCTAAGTATTAAAATATTAGAAAATTATTATTCTAAAAATGTATGATAGATATACAGCCCATTGGATAACAAAAGATTATTCAATTTGTTAACGGATCATCTTACTGCAATTGAAAATTAACAGACTCGATGTATTCTAATTGTAAAACATGTTAATTCAATCAATTATATTAACTACCGGTTTATTGGGATATTATATATTCCGAGCATTCAATAATCAAAAAGATCTTATGCGTCGAACTGATGGTAAATTTAAGATTTGGGGAAAACCTGTTTAATTCATTCGAACACGATTTACTACTAGTGATGAAAAAGAACTAGTGGATATTGGAGTAAAATTATTAATATTCACGACTTAATATTTAATATATTTAAATAATATATTCAATTTACCATTATAGGAATATCTCGTCATTTTAATTATGTTGAAGATTTTCTTATATCATTAACAAATGTCTTACTTGTGGATTCAGTCATTTACTACCTTACTTTTATATTATTTACATGGTTATACTTTATTAATTGTATTTATTGTGATGATGCAAGATGTCGTGAGAAGTATTGGGATGAATATTGTAAGATTGTAAAGTGGAAATTGATACCTGTTACTTTCTCCTTTGACATATATTATTTAAAATTCAAAGATTCTAATTTAATATTTTTATTTATTTTAGTATGGTTTTTAATTTGAACTTATCTTTACATACAATTTGAGTTGTATTCCATTTGATAGAATGATAATATTTATTTTTATTTAATATTTATTTTTATCATCGAAAAGTATTAACTCTAATAGTGAAAATAATAGTATTAATGTGTTTTATTATTGAATACACGCATCATCGTCTCTTTATATAATTGATATGTGATTTACTGTTAAAAGTTTCAACTTTATCTTTATTATAAAATAAATTACACTCAACTTTGACCTGTAAACTTTCTAAACACTTTTTTTTTTCGAAAATATTCGCTTTATAACTTTATTATTACGTTATTGGATGTATGCACAAAGAAATACGTTATATCTATAACAGTCTTCCGCTTTTCCAATTTTCTGTGCTTGTATGTGATTGTCACGTGTTAATTAGTCGCAGCGATTATTTTACATTATATGCACTAATTTATTCAAATTTATCCTAATTTGTATTATCCAAAAAAAAAAAGTTACGGTTTGTTTGTTTGTGGCTTTTATAAATAAATCTTATCTTTAATCAGAAATTAATTAAATTTCCTTTTTTATTTTCCATTTTTGGCTGAATAAAAAAAAAAAATTACCCTAGAAAATATATTTAATGGTGAAAAAATACTTGCCTTTTAATTGATTAAAAAAAATAATGTCCGAAAATCCACTTTCCTCGCAAGATGAAAAAGGAAAAGAACTACGCGTGCCTGATAACAATTTTAACATTTTGATGGAGGTGCAGAATGTTGAAATTGATAATGTGAAACCGGAAATGTTGCGAGCACATTTAATGCTTTTAACTAAATTTAAAGCATTGGAACAAGCAGATGAACAGATTGATGTGAGATATTTGTTGCGTGC